GTCCTGAATTAACAAGCATAAATACATAGTCCTGAATTAACAAGCATAAGTACATTTTTACTACTGAAATAACAAGCATGAGTTAAATTTTCTAGTCCTAATAAAACCATAGGCAGATTTTGTAGTCCTGAAATTACAAGCATAAATATATTTCCTAGTCCCAAATAAAACAAACAAGCATTAAAAAAATACTGTAACCTACATGTATGAAATTGACATTTAACTGAAGGTGCATGCGCATGAATTCAATAAACATGGAAGTAATTTCTAGGTAAAAATATCATGCATTTTCAGTTAATATTTAATAAAGGATTTATTACTGGTTTTCTGTCACATACAGTATAGAGGACTTTTAATAATGATTCTTAAAAACATTTTTAATGTCACATATAACAAATGTTTCAGTCCCTACCAATAAAAAAGAAAATGCCAAATGTGCTAAGTAACTCACCAGATGTGCTAAGCATTTTAGCAAGCAGTTTACACACAATGGAACCTCTTTTTCTCATTTTGCTCTGTTTAGAATATGGTATATATGGCACTACCCCAACTACCCTCCTTGCTGAACTTGTCTTACAGGCGTATGCTATAATCTGTAGTTCCATCATATCATTATTCACATCCCTATAATATATGTACATGTATATCAAAATAGGTTAATTAACAGAAAATACAGTCATATCATTATGGAACAAAATTATTGCTATAATTAGTTGACTTAATACACTTTATTTTATTTAATATTCTGCACAATACAAATGTTGAATACTTATATAAGTTTCTGCATAATACTACATTTGGTAGAATTAAAAAAAAGCAATTCTCTACAAGTTTGAGGACCTGTCCAATTAAAAAAGGAAAAGCCTATTCCTTCTTGTATGAATTTAAAAATGCTTCAAATTAACCAGTCTCAACTCAAATCTGATTAATATCCGCTCCATAATAATGTTAAGTTTTAGGATATGACAGTCATCAACAGAAGGTCACATTCTTGTGAACTTTCTTGAAAGCTTATCACTTTCTAAACCAGGTAAAATGAATATTTGACAGTTACTTACTTAGTTCCAGTTTGTATAATGTAGACATCTTTTCCTCTGATTGACTCCTTTATTTCGACAACGGTTTCTGTTAAATAATTGTAAAACATAGATATTTATGCACAGAGAGAAAAAACAAAGAAATAATAAGAGCTGTCCACAGGACAGTGTGCTCTACTATTCTCAGTGCTGGATATAGAAAAACAAGACCTTGGATAATGTTGAATTTGTAAGTTCAGAAATTCTGTCAAAATCCATGTAAGAGTTATGGGCATTGGAAAGTGACCTCCTATAAATTTATGCTCTCAAATAAGTGTGTTTAGCTTCAACCCATTCTAAGACACCAACTTGAATGCAAAAACTTAACCAAAGTGAGACATTCTCAATGACAGACACCTGAGTATGTACAATACTTGAATAGTTCTCCATATTCTTGAAATAGTCAAGCTAAAATCAGATACAATGTACATGTAACTGAAACTAAAAATCATCCATTATATCAAAGTGGAAAGCTAATATGGAAAGCAAACATATGTCAAAGACTGGAAAATTAAAAATGTTCCTAACTTGATAAAACATATTTTGTCCGCTACCCCTAGCAATGACTGGCTTAGGCAAAACTGCATCATCTAATATGAAATGGTTATTAAGAATTTGAAAATAAATAAATTCATACATAGCATTATACAGTGGTTACACAGACTCTACAGGACAAGTAGAAGAATATAATTACATGTGTATGTGCCCTAAAAAAGAACACCACATCATACAAATTACAATCCAAAGTCCCTGACGGGATCGAAACCGACAGCAATGATGGATAAGTGATTTGAAGTTGGCAACCTAAACAATGCGGTAAAGAATAACCCTGCTTAACCTCTGACTATTTTTCTACAGCAGTGACTTAAAGGAGGACAAAATAAAGAAGCAAGTAAGCAACAGAAATGACCAGTCAGTCCTACCTCTGTTTGACTTATGGTAACAGCGACAGTCACATAGATGTGTTGACAGCTTCCTGAAACATAAAGCAATGTCATGGTAGGTGATAATGGCACATTATTTAAATTATAGTTACACTGTAAATAGCAGTACTAAAAGCTTACTTTTTGTTTATATCATAATCTGACAAAATTTGAATAATAAACATAATCTATCATTTTCTATATTCCAGTCAGGTCTCTTGCCATGTGGGTTCAAACTCTATCAGGGACGAACCATTGTTTCCTTCAGCAAGAAATTTTACACTTATTGCTCAGTACTGGATAGCTCCAGGAATGGATTCCAGATTGTTTCTGCAAGCCATTACTTTAGTATTCTAAGCTTCCTACACAAACAAACTTAAATAAATTCTTTATAAACCAAAGAAATTGTGGACAATGACGAATGATGAATACACTGCCAAACAAAAGCTCACATCTTAGCTCATATAAGCACTACATGCTTAGGCAAGCTAAATAAAGAGTGATTTTACTTTATTTACTGTTTCAAAACTTCCTAAAATATTGTAGTGCACCAAAGGCAAAAAGGATTATATGAATAAAAGGCGATTTAGAGGGTATAAAAGGTGATTTAGAGGGTATGTGTACAGATTTTTACCAGCAAACAGCATAAATTAGGTTTTCATTGGTATATATTATTTATTGGTATATAAGTATAATAATTTGCTGGGATTGACTTAGTCCAATATATTAGACGTTACAGGCTTGTTATAGTTATATGTTGGTCAAGCCTGACGTCTAATAGTTATTGCTCATAAACGCATAGCATTTTGAAAAATTTAAAAAAATGTCTGTTGACTTGCCTTTCAAGCTTTATTCAAAAGCTTATCTTCTGTTCTTTCAATTGCATGGTCTATCAATAACAAAAACTCTCAAACAATGTACTTATCAATTAAAAATAAAATATCAATATCAATCTATTTCGCCCATCGGCCATACTGGTTAAGTAAAGCGTTTTACAGATTGATTCCAATTTTTTGAACGGGAAAATATATTCAGACACACTGACGGTGCATGGGAAATTATTTCGTTGAAAAAAATATTCCGCTAGAAACTTCTGGACTCATTTAAACGCTTGCATTTGAATTAGCCATTCAGATTTCGCGCACTGTTTGGCGGCCATTTGTATATCGGCTATACAAGGAATTTAATTAAATGAGAGAATTTAATTATGACTTTTCGGATGTGACAGTTTAATTATTTTGTTAAAAGATATTCATTTTTTAGTTTTGTTCATAAATAGGTCAAAATTAATGTAAATACACGCTGTCTTAATTGTTTAAATGCATTAGATCTAAATCGATGTCTAATGTCAATTTTTTTGCTACACGATTTTGCAAAGATCTGTAAAGACCTAACGTAACATGGAAAATGAAAAATGTAAAATATCAGATTAATGAATGATAAATATGAAATAGGTTATGTATAGGTCTTATAATTAGGACTAGGATTGACTAATAATACCATGAATTTGGATTTTATGTTAGCTAAAGATACTTCAGCGAACAGGTTTTATAGAATTGCTAGACCTGTTCGCTGAAGCCAACCCCGTATCGAAAGTCAACCAGAGCCGTGACATTTTTATGTCATGCTGTAATTCAATAAATTTGCGTGATCTGGACAAAAGCTATTTTAATACAGGTAGTTAGATATATTTGGGACCCTTCAGTCTATATTTTTGAACACAGAATGTTAGATTGATGAAATATTGTCTCAAAGTTTATCAGCGGGTTCACATTTAATAAAATTCGCCGCCATTGCTGCCCTAATTATCATGTGACCAGCGAGAATTTAGGTTCGGATACCTTTGCATGACATTTGGTGACACGTGACCCAAATGCTATTTTTAATTGAAAACATGGCTTTGCAATTATGAATAACGGTGTATTTATTAAATAACAGACATTTTACCAAAAACATGTTGGATTTATATTGTTTTGAGTGATGATTCATGAATTATTTGTTTGTTTTTATATAAAATCATACACCTACTAAAAATAGTGTACGGTGCGTTACTAAAAATAGATGCTAGAATTTCCAAAACATGAAGTCCCGCGAGATCTCATTTGGAACAGACTCCATATTGATAAACATTCTCTACATATTTCTCTCAAACATAGTTGGGTACACAATGTCATTGAAGTTTCATTTATAAACAAAACATGAATTGGTTCAAAATCGATTTGTTTATCAAATGGTATTTTTATTTGACCCAAATTTGATTAATAAGGGTGATTTTGATAGGTTTTTATGTACGGCGCACGAACTGTAAAATTCTGGTAGCCTTTGCAAATAGGGTTGACCCATAACTTTACTGTCGCAACGTCAAAATAAAAGCGACATATAAAGTTATGGAAGCCAGAACTAATTTTATGTCTGTGGCTCTGTGTGATTTAGATGTTAAGGGGATGCTTTCATTTCAAACATTTTTTAACATAATCATAGGTGTTGGTGTGTGCATCATTACTTTGTAAAAAATTTTGCTACAACTGTCAAGCAGCTTTTATCAGTTTTGAAACCTGGCCATGTGCAAAATTAAATGCAATGCCAAAGGGAGATAATCATAAACACATTGCCTTGAAGTAAGTTTAGCAGTATAAAATACCCGATTATACGCAACAAATTTCCTTACTCTGCAACAATTTGTGCGAGCTCCGGGTGAGAATTCCCTGAAACAACAACCATGGGACATCTTTGTTGCTCTGCAATCGACATATTTCTAATTAAATTCTACTGCCCTATTTGTTTTGGTTTCATACGTCCTTGACCGTGTAGCCGCTTAAAACATTAAATGTCTGAAAAAATCCAATTTTCATCTAATATCAAGTATCTATGAAGTATCTGTAAATTCAAAGCTATCAGAAATATGAATACTGCTTTATTTTGGTAGTCAATATTTCCAATAATTTAAAGTATTTTGTGATTTCAATTTTGTGAATGCATAGACGACATTATTGACATTTACCATCGACCAATCAAATGCGACCTTACGGGAAATCCAGCATGGTGGAATGTTACAAAGTTTTGGAAGCAGAATATATTTTCTAACTTTTGAAGCAATTGACGCAAGGATCGTGCGATTCTATACGATGAGCAAGTCAGAATATTTTCCATCACATAGATTAACTAGATCTTCATGTGTGACAAATCGGTCGAAGGATACAGTCACTCAAAATACTGGCATTGCTAACAGGATTGCCAGGTCAAGTTCACAGCATACTGCCAACACCAACAGCAGTGCACAATCATTAAGTGGCAAGTTAAGGAGAAAACGTGAACACACTGAAATAAAAATTGAAAATGAAGAAAGTGAAATTGTCAATGATAATGCTTCAAACACCATAAACATCAAGACTGAATTAAAGGCTGAAGTGAAGATTGAACCAGGAGTAAATCAAATTACAGAGGAAGTGGTTCAGGGAAATGTTTGGCAACCACCTTTGTGGAAACAGCAGCTTGATAATATTTATGACATAAGAAAAGCTTGGGATGCACCGGTTGATACCATGGGTTGCGATGTTATAAGTGATGAAAATGCAAAACCAGAGGTTCTTTATTTTATGAGAAATGTTAAAAATGTAATGTAATGTCAAGAAATGTTAGGAATTTTATTTTACTATGCTTATATGTCCTGAAAATCTTGTGGTATTTGATACTCCTTTTAAAAGTAAATGACAGACTATTACTTAACTTTATTAAGAAAATTGGATAAAAAACCAGGCCCAAATAATTGCATTTTGTTAATAGGACCAATTATATAAAAGGGTAATTGTTGAAACCCACAAATCATTACGTGTAGAAAGATATTTAGTGATGGAATTTATTGAAAATAAATTAAGACTGACTGATTAGAACATACAATGAAAGCAAACTAATTTAAAATATGCACTCAGCAGCATATAATCATTTTAAAGCTACATTTGCATGCATTTCTTATTATTTGTCGCAAACATTGAGTACATATTTACAATTTATTTCAGGTATACAGATATCAAGTATTACTTTCTTTGATGTTGTCAAGTCAAACTAAGGACCAGATCACATCCGCAGCAATGAGTAAATTAAGAGCACATGGTTGTACTATTGACAATATTCTCTCTACCTCGGATAAAATATTAGGAGAGCTTATCTACCCTGTTGGATTTTGGAAGGTGATTACAGATGAGTTACCAAACTTTCAGATGTTTTATATTCTCTGTAGATATTTCTGTCACCTAGGTTTATAAATCTGGTGTCTTGAAGCCGTCTGGGTTATTGAAGCTTGATTGTTCTTCAGAGATGTGACTTATGCCTACATGTATATTAATCTAAAGAAGCATATCTGGAGTCATCATTTTATTAACCAGGTTTTCCGAAGGAAAAAACTGGTTATTAGATTGAGGTATGTCGGCGGGCGGATGGGCGAGCGGCGGGCGTAAACAATTTCTTCTGTGCGCAACTCCTCCTACATTTCTCAACAGATTTTGACCAAACTTTCACAGAACCTTTGTCATCAAGTGCCCTGGTGCATATTGTCGGGGTTTTGTGATTGGATAATATTTGACCTAATTATGGCCCTTTGTTTTTTTTCCTTATACAGAATATATAGTAAACAATTTCTTCTGTACGCAATCCTCCTACATTTCTCAACAGATTTTGACCAAACTTTCACAGAACCTTTGTCATCAAGTGCCCTGGCCCATATTGTCGGGGTTTTGTGATTGGATAATGTTTGACCAAATTATGGCCTTTGTTTTTTTTCCTTATACAGAATATATAGTGAACAATTTCTTCTGTGCGCAACTCCTACATTTCTTAACGGATTTTTACCAAACTTTCACAGAAGCTTTGTCATCAAGTGCCCTAGGGCATATTGTCTGGGTTTTGTGATTAGATAATATTTGACCTAATTATAGCCCTTTGTTTTTTTTCCTTATACAGAATATATAGTGAACAATTTCTTCTGTGTGCAACTCCTCCTACATTTCTCAAAGGATTTTTACCAAACTTTCACAGAAGCTTTGTTATCAAGTGCCCTGGCCCATATTGTCGGGGTTTTGTGATTAGATAATATTTGACCTAATTATGGCCCTTTGTTTCTTTTCCTTATACAGAATTATATCGTGAACAATTTCTTCTGTATGCAACTCCTTCTACATTTCTCAAAGGATTTTTACCAAACTTTCACAGAAACTTTGTTATCAAGTGCCTTGGCCCATATTGTCGGGGTTTTGTGATTAGATAATATTTTACCTAATTATGGCCCTTTGTTTCTTTTCCTTATACAGAATATATAGTGAACATTTCTTCTGTATGCAACTCCTCCTACATTTCTCAACGGATTTTGTTCAAACTTTCACAGAACCTTTGTCATCAAGTGCCCTGGTGCATATTGTCGGGGTTTTGTGATTGGTTAATTTTTGACCTAATTATGGCCCTTTGTTTTTTTTCCTTATACAGAATATATAGTGAATTCTTCTTCTGTGTGCAATTTCTCCTACATTATTCATGATTTACATTGCACATAGTTACAATTTGTTGCTTGTATTTGTATTTCAACTACAATATATTTATCTACAATGGTGATAATTGAAAACCTGGTTTTGGGGCATTGCCATGTTTCTTGTTTGTTAGTTAAAGCTGGAAAATGACATGTACAATGTCTTTGTGGTATTATATTCAATAGAACAGGAAAACAGTAAAACAGTAAAACGTTATGATAAACTCTTAAGAATGCATTTAGAGACAAGAGATTTAATACCTGAAAGATAGTTCAAGTCTGTTTCAAATTTTTGATTTAACATAATTTTGTGAAATTATCTATTTTCAGAGAAAAGTGGAATACATCAAGAAAACCAGTGAAATACTTAAAACACAATATAAAGGTGATATTCCTTCAACTGTACAAGATCTCTGTAAACTTCCTGGAGTAGGTCCAAAGATGGCTTATTTGGTTATGAAATGTGCATGGAATCAAATTGAAGGTGGGTATTTTTCAAGACTGTATAAGTCACCTTAACATGTTACATGATTAATAGAGTAAGTACAACACATTGTTCAGAAGGACAGACTTGTGTATATAAAAGAGCTATTCTTTTTATTTGACCCATGTCTCCATATACAGAATATTCTAAAGCATTATTTGTATATTGATTCACAATAAATATGTTTATAAGCTCAGTATATAAACTTGCATGAAGATATTAATGGCAAGTTCTTGTAAAGTATTTTACATAAATTGTGATATCTGACCAGATTAAACATGCAAATTCCAAAATTTGTAATTGGTAACTTTTCTTGTTTTGCTTTATATTTGATATACATGTAGGTATAGGAGTTGATACACATGTACATAGAATCTCAAATCGTCTTGGTTGGGTGAAGAAAACAACAAAACTGCCAGAGGATACCAGAAAAGCTCTAGAAGACTGGTTACCCAGGTGAGAAAAAATAAATTGTTATGTAACTTAGAAGTGATATTATCCATGGCAAGAAGGATGACCCCCCTTTTAATTTTGAGGTCATAAGGTCAAAGGTCATGGTAACAGTCACACCGTGAGAAATCTTTTTCTGACCAGTTACTCAAGAAGGAATTAGCCAAAGTATGTTAAACTTGGTAGCAGCTTTTTCATCCCCATTTGATTTTGAGGTCTTTAGGTCAAAGGACAAGGTCACAGTGAAATTTTGTGTAAAACTTTAACTTGAGAAGGAATAGTGGTTATGTAACTTACATGTAGTGGGAATTCAAATTAAATTTTTAATTTCAAAGCTGGGCAAACCCATTTCATAAATATAGCAGGCAAAGGATTTTAATTTGATATATTTTCTAACTATAGGGAATATTGGACAGATATTAATCATCTATTGGTTGGATTTGGTCAGCAGACTTGCCTACCTGTCAACCCCAAGTGTTCTGAATGCCTAAACAAAGACATCTGTCCGTATGGCAGGTCACAGCTCAGATACTGCAAGCCAAAGAAAATTAAGAAAGAACCAGAAAGTAATGAAGATCAATGAAGTTTTAGCTCACCTAAGTATTATATTGTCACCTAAGTGCAGTAACCGGTTGACTACTATTGAAATACAATAGGAGATAGTTTTTTCTGCACTAACATGTAGATGACAATACATGTATGTTAAGGTGAGATATTGTGTAGGTGTGTTGGTCATTCATTGTTTCTTCAGATAAACTGACAATGCTAAACATAAATTGTTCCAAGTTTGCTGAACAAGATGAAACAAAAAGAAAAACCAAAAATACTTGTAAAACAACATCTCCTAAACATCTGTTTTAATGAACAACTTGGTTCTCTACAAAACCTTTTCTCAATAGCTTAGCTACTGAACTCTATCATGTTCCTCAACATATGTAAGCAGAGACAAAAGGTTTGCTTTCAAGAACATTTCTTCCTTAAATTCTGGACAGATTTCAATGAAATTTGACACAAGTGATCTTTGGGTGGTTTAAAAAAAGGAAGAAGAAGCTATAATAGGTGTTGTTTAGAATAATTTTTCAGTTGTTACACTCGGGTGAGCAATTAAGTGCCATCATGGCCTGCTTGTGTACATGTATATTTCAATTACTTATATATTTTTCTTGTTTCTGTACATAACATTTCATTGTTTTATTACATATACAATTCATATATGTTTTTATAATTTGTTAATGGCTTTTCTTCGTCAGAATTTTATATTGTTTTAACATTGTTGTTGCTCTTTGTTTTACTGTTCGGAAATGAAAAGAATGTCTAAATTTAAAGTAGCTTGATGCTAGCAGAACATAATTATAGAGAATATACCCAATTTGTTACCATTTAAATTAAACATCAGTGGATGGAAAAAGGTCCCAACAATAAATTAACAAGCTTCTATGCGAAGTTGACGAACTTTTGTAAGTGAATAGGATTGGGACGCAATAGTTTTGTTAAAAGTCAGTGATAACAAGTCATAAGAACAACATGTTTATTTTCAGCATTTATATTTTATGAATACAAAATTAAACATTATATAACAAAAGTATAATTTTCTGTTGTGAATATTAAATATCATAATTATTATGAACTGTCTAAATATTTTGAAAGTGGTGGCATGGCATCATAGAGCAAAATAGTACATGTATATAAAATTATTCCAATATACATATTTAAATTCAAAGTAAGCTAAAGTTTGCCTTACAATGATCAAAATACCTGAAGTAGAAGATTGTCTGGATAAAAATGTCATGGATAAATAAAAATTACAAATCAGCCCAAATGATTATCATTTTAGTATCTGAGCAACAAGAATATCTAGCTGATAACAAAATAATGATTGTCTTTAGAAAAAGATATATATATATATATACAGGATATATAATGTTGTGAAATAATTTAACATTCCTGTCGAATCACTGAATACACTGAATATTTTTGTACTTTTTTATATTCCTATGGAAACATACTTTTCATATGGATATACAGTAAGTGCTGTTGTAGGATAAGGAAATTTTGAACATGTAATATGAATATAATGGATATTTAGTATTAATATATAATGTATTCCACATAAACAATATGTAAAATAAAAACATACTAAAATTTGGATTTCAAAGTAAATTTCTGTGAAAAATATATTATTCTATATTTACGAAATGTTAAATATATTGTGAAAAACAACTATTAAAAATAAAAACAAGAGAACAAATGGGACTTTTTAGGTAAAATAAAACGAAATACAACAATGAAATATGAGCATTGAAAGTATATATATATATGAAAAAGTCATGAGCAGGAAATTATACATAGAAAAATCACACAAAAAATTGGCACAAAGAAAGCATCGGCTGCTGTAGTGTAGTGGTTAGCACACTGGACAGGCAATCCAGAGACCCGTGGTTCGAGTCCTGGCTGCAACATGCCGATTTTGTGTGTGGTTAAAATGGATCAATAATTTTGGTGGTATATTAATTAAAATATTTCATATTTCTCATCACAACATTTTTTGTTGTCTCGTATGAATATCTTGAAAATTGTAACATCAAAGGTAAACATTTAAATATATAAACAAATATATACTTTTCAGTATTGGCGATGCAAATTAATAAAGGCGGCCAGCGTGAGAAAACGTTCTTTATTTTTAAAAGATATTTAATTTTCTACCACTTGAAATAATAAAAAAAATATCAGGCTGTCCAGCACCTTCTGACAAAAAATTAGGGCAAATTTTAGGGCAATTTTTAAGAAATTTTAGGGCTAAAATTTAGGAATTTTAGGGTAAATGAAAGAAATTTTAGGGCTCAAATTTGGAATTTTATACTAAATTATGGCCTCAAAAGACCATGATATGGGCTCAATTTTGCATATTTGACACAAAAGTAACTCACAAATAATGCTCTAGTTCGGTTATAGCAAAGGTGTTACCAGTGTTCCATAGTCACCAGTGAATAAATTGATTCACTGGTCAACTGCCTTTAAAAAGAGCTGAAAAACTACATTAAAACATAACTAGAATGAAAACATTTTCAAAGTTATAAGAATCCAGGAACAACCAATATTCAATTAGTTAAGCTATGATTAGCCAATAAAATGCAACTTCCTTGGAAACTTTTTATCACAATTTTAAACAGGTGACTATTTTGATATAGTCAAAGTGGTACAATTTTCATTGTTCCATTTAAAACTAACAGTTTCTTATATTTTTCAGATAACATCTGACAATTAATCAAGTAAAGATATAATAAGCCCATAATAAATGGAAGAGGAAGTTATGCTTTAAATTTATTTTAGCTATAAATGCATTTCTTATTTGGTACATTTAAAACAAGTCTTGATCTTTCTTAAAAAAACAATAAAAATGATATGACCCACTAGAGTCATTCCCAGGCATATTTAAACTTAAATTCAAACAGCAGGATAACCCTTGAAAAATTTTGTTAAAGTAAACACGACTAAAAATTGAAAAAATTTATTTTTTAAAGATAAATCAGGCTACTAAAAAATTGTAAAAAATTTTCATTTTTCAAGATAAATCACTTAAAATTGGGGTGAAAATTTTCACAACAGGTAGAAATGTTTTCAACTTTTTTTTTCCCAGTTTAAAAAAAAATTTTTATAATGTAATAAAATTTAAATCTTTTTAATTGTAAAAAAAGGGGATAAAGGGTTACTTTTTTAGTATGCTAATTGGGGCAAAGGGTTTTAAAGCATTCATTTACTCCAGTTTTCCCTTACCCTTTTTATAATACCGTGAAAATAGGGAAATTTGTCGATCTCCCAGGGTTTCACTTAATTAAGATCTTTTCTACATCTTTCATTTAAAATAACTTGAAAAAATTAAGACGTTATTAATAAGGACCCTTGCATAAAGTCTGGTGAAATTTAGTGGTGATTTGTGTAAATAGTTTGCTTTAAATACACCTAAGACTGAGGTAAATGGTAAAAACTCTGTAGCCAATAAAAATATGACTTTCTTGGAAATTTTTTTATCACAATTTTAAACAAGTGACTATTTTGACATAGTCAAAGTGGTACAATTTTCATTGTTCCATTTAAAACACACAGTTTCTTATTATTTTTCTGATAACATCTGACATCAAGTATGGCATTTCTGCAGGAATTGAAGTATATGCAACATGTGACTTATGCAATTTAGTCAGACATGATATCAACCCCACTGACTGCGTTTGAATTTAGGTTGTGATTGAAACATGGTTGTTTCTGGATATGTTTATCACAAAGGATAAAAAAATAGGAATTTAAGGTGAAAAATAGGGCATTTTAGGAATTCCCTTTGAATTTTTCATTTTTTTAGGAATTTTAGCCAAACTGAAAAAAAATAGGATTTTTTAGGAATTTTAGGGACGCTGGACAGCCTGAAATATATATAAAGGTAAAGCAACTAATCTTTTTCTACTGATATCTTATAATCTTCAACATCTCAAGGGTATTTCACTTCTTTATTTTAAATGGCAAAATTAAAAGTCTACTGACACGTTTTAAAAGTCATATTGTCATGCTGGCAGACATATGTCTTTCCATCAGACAGCTAAATGTATTATCTTATAAAATATCTATAAATAGTTTCTTACTTCAGTGCTTTCTTAATTAACAGGCAAGTTCAGGGGCATATTTTGAATATATTTCATGACACTTGAATACATGTAAGTCCTACATTTTATCTAACTAAGCTTTAAACAAAGGATACTGGCATACTGTATACATGCTTATTAATATATAGATAACAAATTATCTCACAACATATACCGGCTTCTTTTTCAAGTGTTACTTTATGTATATCTTTATTTTTACAAGTGTCCTCTACAAAGCATGCTATTGATCTCAATGAAGTCCATGGATGAATATTCTAAAAAAGAAAGCACCTCACCAAAGATATAGCCATTATTTCTTTTTATATTTCCTAGATTTCAAGGCGCTACTGTTGTCTAAAAAAATTTTAAAACTTGTTATCATTTACATCTATTATCATTCACATTTATTATCATTTATTTGTTGTTATCATTTACATTTATTTACCCCCCCCCTTTCATTTTCGTTTATCATTAAACGAAAGTTAATCATTAATATTTGTTATTTACATTAGTTATCATTTACATTATCATTCACTTTCATTATCATTTAATATTTTGGTTTATTATTTGTAATGATTTCATACAGACTTTACATAACATGCTTTCAGATAATATGTAGTTAAC